TATATTTTTATACATAATTTTTAATAAATAATTTCATTTAAATTAAGTAATTTTTTTTAATTATTATTTTTTTAACAAAAATATATTAAATTAAGTGTTAATATTTATTACTTTTGAGAGAATCAAACCTTAATTTATATGCATTTTATTTATTATCTAATAAACAACATAACCATCACTGCATCACATGGACGAATTGGTTTCAATTATCATTGATAGTATATAAAAACGTGAAAAGTATTTCTCCAGAAACAAGTTGCACACATCTCCATTCCACACGTCTTTTCTTTTGCGGCCAAGGTGGGTCATTACCCACTCCCGGTTAACACGATGAGACATGAGTTGCACGCGATGACAACTTTTCCAAGGGGACTATTTAATGGAAATTTCTTTTGATTGCCCGTGATGACTAACCCTAACGAATGGATGTATGCTTTTTCCAAGGGACTATTTAGGAGAGTATTTCTTTTCATTAGTATATATAAAATTAAAAACAAGGCCTAGACCTTTCTATCCTTATAATTTAAACATGAAACGACAATTCTACCCTCATGTTTATCCAATTTCAAAGATATTTTGTTAAAAAAAAGTCATAAAATTACCTCTTTCTTTGGTAAATAAATCACAATTTCACTTGTTAGTCGCTGTAATACCATGAATGATTTTGGACAGCTAAGTCACATGCTTTATGGCATTAAAGCCCCTTCCCCAAACGCATAAGGACACAAATCCTCGACTTAATATGTTTCTAGGTTGGAAAATGATTTAAACACCCTCCGGTTCAACATATTTTTTCGACACACTTCGGTTCAGTGATTAAAAATATAATATAAATATGATTAATTTAATCGATTCATGTATCCTATGTGTATGATTGCATCATTAAACTTGTCTATTTTTAATTTTAAATAAAAAATAATAATTTTTTAATAAATATATTACATAATACGTTGAACCGGATAATGCACAAATCATTGTACTTCTAGTTTTCTTCTAGTTTGGAAAATATTCTCTGCACGACAGAATATATGGTGCTGCAATGTTGCAGCAACAGATCCATGGTGTTCGGCTTTTATTCACTTCAAAAAAAAATCTACGCTATACGTTGCATGCATTTTTATTTTACATTCTTTCCCTGGTCCATCTAATAGTTATGCCGGTAAGCCTAGATATTTTCCTTTTTTACCAGAAGTGTATTAATAGGCTCTCTGCACTGGAGATAAACATTGAAAAGGCTCTTTTGTAGCATATGCTATGTCTGAAAAAGTTAATGCCCTTTCTTTATTGCTTGTCTAACATCTTCTATGCTATCAAGGTTGATTGAAGCAATTGGGGGAATAGTTTCCATGGTACACTATGATGCTGTCAGAATTCTTTAAAAAAAAAAAAAATACAGCCAATTTCTTCTGCCAAGTGTCGAACTTTGCGTCGGTGCATTCATGTGTTTTAGTGCAAAAAATTTGTATTACTCTTGATGAGAAACATACAAAATAAGGTAGTCTTCGATTTCAAGGATCTTACCTCAACATATTAATACAGAAAGGTAAAGCATGAAATAGAAAAACATATTTACTTTTTCAAAAAAAAAAAAAGACAAGGAAACTCAATTGGATCTAATTTGAGGAAAAACGATGGAACTTGTCTGGATGACATGAAACTTCTGAACGAGGTTCTCTTTCATTTTCCATCCCCAAATCAATATTTAGTTTTACAAGCTCCAATAGAACTTCTAGTTGAGGTTCTCTTCCATTTTCCATACCCAAATCAATATTTACAATAAGTTCCAACAGAGAAATAGTTGGAAAAGGCTTCAAAAGTTGTCTTTGGCAGACAACAAATTGTTGAAACACATATTTCATTGCTGGTCTGAACTTAGGCTTTGCACGCAAGCAAGCCAATGCAAGCATAACAGCAACAACAATAATTTGGGTAAATAGAATAGCACGGGGGGGCTATCTGACCTTTGTTTGATTCAAAATTCCAACCCTTTCTGTGCCTGGAAAAAGCAAACAAGGAAGGAAAGGGCTGAAATCTCAATATCTGACCCGGGAAAAAACCCTTACCTTAGCAGTGATAGAGATAGCATAGCTGTAGACAAGGGTCTATTCCAATAGCCGGTAAATTCTGTTGAAAGGATAAACATGCCTTGAATATCCAGTTCATGTATCTGGTATGAGTAGTATTTAATAATGTATCTAGGAGAATGGGATTCATGTATAC